CCCCCCCCCCCCCCCCCCCCGCCCTCTAAAAACAATACTAAATAAAAAATATATGCTTTCTTAAGATCTTGGCAATTGGTTATACAAGGGAATGAGTAAGCAAGGGACGGCGTTCTACATCGTGGAAGAAGTAAGCTCAGCAACACCTATACTTAATGGGAACATTTGGGACGAAGGACGCTTAGATATGTAGTTACTCCGTGCACATATTGTTTTTCAGTGCAATGTGTGTAGACACAAAAAATGCTAAAATGATCTTCATGTATCTACTCAAGGTCTCTCCAGTTTGGGTGTTCAACTCCCTTCTTAAATATCTATCCGTTTTAGTATATATATTTTTCTAATGGCATTTTCGCCACCGTGAAAGAATGAATAAGATTAAGTTTTGTCTTGCTACTTACCTCAATTGCACGGGTGGTGGGCGGAGCAAATGGGGGGTTAGGTCGGTTTCCTGTGGCTAGTAATTGATATCACATTATCTGCCGAAGTGGCGCAAGCGTGATAAGATAAGACGTCCTAACTTAGGAAAGAATGCGCCTTCTGAAGAGCAAAAGCAAAAAGATTGCATTCAAACACTAAATGAAGATCTGTTAAAAATATTCATTATCTATAGGTACTATGAAACATTATACTAAAATCGCTTGCATTTATGTACTCAATGAAAATTTGTTTATAAAATATGCATTATGTAAGCACTATTAAACCTTACACTCAAACCGTTTATACGTGAGTCTCCTAAATTGAACCTCCTACCTCGATGGAAAACAACATCGCTCATATTTACATGTTATTGATTTATAGAAGTAAATGTTTAAAGGACAGAGATGAGCACGCAAACCATGAACTGTTAACGAAATCTACACTTGCGTCAGCTTATACATACAAGAAACGATTTACTTTCGATGATCAAGTTTTGTTCGTCAAATAACCGTCCGTTAATGCAACTGGCTTTCTTAACGTTGCATTTAACTGCCTAAAAAGAAAATGAAATAGCTGAAATGGATGTTTGTATGCCAGCTTTAGATGGGGACGGTTTCAAATTGGTCCAAAATGGTCTAAACTTTCAAGTCAAAAGTTTCAATTGAAAAGAACGCCTATTTCTAAATAAATTATGGAGTAATATTGCGCGTCTTTAAAACAAGGAGATTATGAGTAATATTCAGTCAAATATACAGGTGACTTCCCTGAATTTCTCTTGAACTTAAATTGACCAAATTTTTGGTCAAAAAGGTAAGACCCATTTTAGGCTTAAGTTCTTTTGTGAAAGCCGCTGTTGTTCGTACCGGTGTAACGAAACAGAAGGTTTGTGTAACAGAAAGCCCGCCCCTCCTCCCATTTCGTTATAATGGTAAGGGTTAGCTTGACCAAAGTGAGTTTAAATCTAGGGCAAGGTTTACTTGTACAAATGAATGGGAAGTGGACTCTCTATCATACACTCTGGACACTCTGTCACGTTACACCAGTATACATCAACTTATATTATAACAATACTTGCACTTAAAGAATGAAGTTAACGATTTCATTAAAAAGGCAAGAATTATATTACGGAAGGCTGAGCTGATGCGTCACAGATAATAGACTAATAAGCATACGTACGATATACAAGCATATCGAGCGGAAACGTGGTTTTTTATTATGTTATATTTTTTCCAGTGCTGCCTGAAACCCTGCAATGCAACTAATTGATGGATGATGCGCTTGGCTTTTACTATATATGTTGCGTAATTTGGTAATCGTGGGAATAGTGTGTTTCATTATATCTTTAGCCCATTTTACGTTTCCAGTGGTTATATCAATCTTCTGTACTTGTGGCATACGCGCTTATTAATGGCATAACTGTAACTTAGCGTAAAAATGTGATTTTTTTTTTCATTGCAATTAACTGTCTTGATTGCTGTCAAAGGGACTTAGCCTGGGTCTGTTAAATGGCAGTGCCTGAGCAGTTATGCAAACAATTACCAGCCATGTAATAAACCTAGAGATTTCATTACAGGGTCACAGAGAGTAAAATGACCGTCTTTTTATCTAAAGACATATATGTGAATATTCTATGAAAAGTCAATCTGTGGCCCTGGTAGAGGGTAATTGTCGCGTATGTTACAATAAAAGCATTATGTGTCTAAACAGGGGGCACTATTAAGTGAAATACAGGTATGTTTGATACTTTGTTCGTTTACAAGAAGTTGGTCAATAACCCCAAACTGATATATATATATATTCGGGCAGGTTCACTGATAGTATCATTAATCATAAGTACATGTATATGATCTATCAAGGTAGTTAAATCATTATGTGTCAAAAAAGACAGGATTCTTATTCCCAAGGCGGTGATTTGCTACTGCACATGTCTAGAGAATTATTTCGTTCGAGTTGTATGTCGGCAGTCGTCTTGCCAAAATAGAACATGTTCGTTGCCCAAATAGACACCGTCTTTTGATTAAAATCAATACTAAACGTCGAATCATAGTGCAGGGACTGGTCGAATAATGATCCGCAAAAAAGTACAGTTGCCCAGACACGCACATTATACGTATAAATTCCTTTATTACTAAAATGATTAGTTGAGTGAAATTATTCATAACTTATAACAAATAAGTCAGTAAAACCTGTAATAGTACATAATGTTAAAATTAGCAAGTGACATGCCAGACCAATAATATCAAATAATACAATTTTTTATTAAAAACTTTAAAAATATTTCCAATTTATGTGATATTGGAGAAAGAATTACCTGTGATCAATGAAATACTTCACTTACTGCCGAATAGCATATGATTATTAAGCCATGTGGCAGAAATGGACCAATTTTTGTAATGCCTGGCCTTTTTTTAATTTCTTGTGCTTGTTTAATCAATTTTTGTTAAAGACGACTGTCTTCATTAACTGTTGGTACATATAACCCCGTACAACTACCAACCACCACGTGGTTTTTGAAACAACGGTTTTCAACAGGGGAACACGTGGCGCCGCTAGACAGGAGAACTGTTGGCTCGTGATCTCCTCCATTCTCGTCAGAAGTGGAGAACGAACGGTTTATTATTCCAGTGATTTTATCTTTCTGAGACCTTTTGTGTGAATCGTTTTCCGTACCACCAAGTTCAGAAGAAAACCTAACCATTGGCAATCCTGACAAAGTTGTGTTTAAACTCGCACTCTTTCTGTCACTTAGGTTATCTTCATTGCCCTGGCCACTGCTCGTAAAAACGGACGCTGCCTTTGAAAGTTCTTTATGAACGTTTCTTAAACTGGCTTTGAAAGTAGACGTTATGCCATCAGGTTGCTTTACATTGGGGTGTTTTTTAACGTAACTAATCTGAAATTGGACCAAAGGGTACAGATGGACATTACAAGTCGTAAAAAATTGATACTGTGAACTACCATACTAGGTTCTAAAACATGAAATAACGTTTAAAAATTCAAAAGGATGGGAACATGGCCCTAATCAAAACAGAGCATTTAACTTTACCTGCCTTTTTTAAATTATTGTGTGTGCCTGTTTTGTGGTGTATTTATTTACCTTAGGAACAAACAGCAATCCTAACGTCGTGGCAGCTGACGCTATGATGCAAAGAGATGAGAAAGCGAATGTGATAGCTGGCCTCTCCGACACAATCATGGCGACGGAGGCGCCAACTCCGCACAAAACACAGGTGTTGTAGATACACATGCCTAGATACCTGGAACGTGGGGATATTTTAATTATACTTGAAATTGATTGAGAGATAGATAAACCAATAAAATTAATGACAATAGATTAACAATTTTTAAACAATAAATATCACAATATAAGTGTGTAAATAAGAAACCATACCGAATACAGAATTTATTTCACGTCTTTTAGATGAATCAAATGAATTGGCAGATTGTGAAAACGTACTGATATGTTTAAACAAGGACAAAAAAAACAAAAAAAGAATATTCGTATGCGAACCATGCACGTTATATATATATATATATATATATATATATATATATATATATATATATATATATATATATATATATATATATATTTTTTTTTTTTTTTTTTTCAATTTGCCAAATACTTATTTGTACCTACTTGGAATCATTCAACTCCGGCACAAAGACCCTTCTCGTCTCAAAGGCTAAAAAACACCCAAAAATCAGAAGCAATCCCTTCTCTGCCAGCAGACCGCCAATCCAATACGTCTTTAACTCCGACGTACAGGACTCGTGTTTCGTTATCAGGCGTTTCCCGTCCGTTTCCTGGAATAATTAAAGTTGTTATAACTTTTCTGAGTTCTAAAATATTTAATGTTTTTTTAACCTCAATTTCTCTTTCTTATTCATCTATTTCTAATTTATCTTACTTGTATGTACATGTATTTATTAACCAATTTATTTATTTATGATTTCTTCTCGATAACATTATTTTGGATTCTCTATAAGCTCTTACGAAAATAAGCAGTTTCTCAATGCTGTAATCGGCATTTATTCCAAAAGTAAATTCACAGCCTTATAATCAATGGGTCTGTGCTGTACCAGGTACCTTGTTTAGGCAACACTACTGCAGTGTATTAAAGATAAATTACCATCAGTAGCGCCGTAAAAATAAGATATTTGAGAATACACACCGTGGGAACGTTTTGAGTGTTGAATGCTTTTTTGTTTATTTGTTTGTTTGTTTTTTTTTTTGTTTTTTTTTTTTTTTTTTTTTTTTTTTTTTTTTTTTTTTTTTTTTTTTTTTTTTTTTGTTTTTTTTTTTTTTTTCTAAAATAAATTTATTGACATTCAACCTGTCACTATATTCAATAGTAACCATAATGTTTATCTGCTAGCTGCTTTCACTGTATTCCAAAGTGACTTTGTGTGTGTCACCTAACCGGAAGTGGTACAAGCACCATTGGGATACTGAAATGAGACTTCCGCTTCCTGTGGACATACCATGTCTGTCTGGATATGATACGTCAAGTATATCGGATCTATCACTGTCCACGTCGCCATTACGGCCACGTCCACCATTACTAAAAACGCCACCCCCACCAACAGGTGTTTATCCTGTAGGGGCTAGGAAAATAAATTTGGCGAAAAATGTCATTTAACTGACCAAAATAAAGCAATTTTATCAATATTTCCAGCCAACACCACATGTACATACAGCATAAATGTCAAACCATTATATTCATTACGTAATGTAAACATCACTTTGGACCTCAACTATATGACATGTTTTTATCAATTAAATTAAATGTTTCACAGCTTAAAAAATAATTGGATGCAAACTTAGTCAAAATGTGACGACCATTTAAAATATAACTGTAAAGGTTTAGCTTAACAAAACGTGGTTGTATTAAATATAACATCGATTTACGTCCTTTTGCACTTTATATATATAAATGTCAATGAGAAATGTGAATGAGCAAGGCCGCTTACAGCGCCTCAGCGGAGCTACTGGCTACATGTTGCCGTGTGGTTCTAACTTGTATACTATATGATGAATTATATTGCACCCTATGATGAAACCGGGTCACAAACTGACCAAAGCTTGCTTTAAAATGTTGGTGTCTAAACGGTTTGAAGCACTGAACGCAAATGCAATAATTATAAAATAAAGGATATATGATACAATTATAAAACAATACCTTTCTCATTCTCCCATACTTATTTCTAAAGATCACATAAACACGCCACGTCTTGGCGAACATGGCTCCGAACGCGAGGCTAAATGCTATGGACAGCAACCAGCCTGATGTCTGAAACAGAATGGTGCAATGATTTCAGTTTCAAGTTGCATTTATTCTTACTCCAGAGATCCTCAACTCTTTGTTTACAAACACAACAAACAAATGCCGCACCTCCATTGGAAAACCTCAATTGCTATCATTTCCCTTAAAACAGTGTACAACCTGGCGTGGGTTAAATGCATTGTCACAGTGGTAGCATTATCACTAATAACCGTTTTTTCTATTTATTATTATTATTATTATTATTATTATTATTATTATTATTATTAAACGGCAATAATGAACACGATCATCATCTTCATCATAAAATAAACTTTAGGGCCTTCGATCATGATAAATGATCAAAATCTAATTAAAAACAGTAAACCAACTCACCATGCACATCGCTGGCATGACATCTGCAGGAACAAGACGGGTGTCCAGTGCAACAAATGGCACGCAGCTAAATGCCACAACACACCCGGCCGCTATGACGTTGTTAAGATTTGGTGATGACAGTTTGATGTGGCTACAAAAAATGAAATAAAAAAAAACAATACAGCTACCTCAATCAAGATTGCATAAATGTAAATTACAACTTACGCTGAATTTTTTTAATTTGAAACATTTTGAAGGGCAAGTATTAGCCTGTTTTTCAGCCTAGAATATTGCTTTTGCCTGTTTAAGAAACGCTAATAATTTTGCACATTTATTAAAAATCTTCTAATTCCCTTAAGTGTAGAAATCGATTTTAAAAGCGCACGCTTTTAGAGCGATTTTGCTGACCTACATAAAAACACCAAACTTGGCTGCTACAGTACTTTACAGGTGGTTCTGGGGTTGACCTATATAATACACGTGACCCACTTTCTCGTTCAGAAACAGTCATGTTGCAATGAAGCTGTTCTCCATGAAAATCTGAATATTCAATTATGGTTAAAAAGTGTGATGCCCATAACTGCTCAAACTCAAAGCATACTGGGCACAGCTTGCATAGGTTTCCGCAAAAGCACAAATTACCTACATAAAAACACCAAACTTGGCTGCTACTTTACAGGTGGTTCTAGGGTTGACCTATATAATACATGTGACCCACTTTCTCGTTCATGTTGCACTGAAGCTGTTCTCCATGAAAAGCGTGAATATTTAAATATGGTTAAAAAGTGTGTTGCCCAGAACTGCTCAAACTCAAAGCATACTGGGCACAGCTTGCATAGGTTTCCGCAAAAGCACAATCTACGTCGCCAATGGATCAGGTTTGTGCAAACAAAAAGGAAGAATTTCACTGCACCCTCGCCATCGTCTCAGGCCGTTCTTTGTGGGGCACATTTCGCGGCAGACTGTTTCGAATCCCCACTTATGAACACGATGGGGTTCAAGACAAAAAGGTCTTTGAAAGAGGATGCTGTGCCTACTCTTCATGCCAGTGTGAAGCGACCAAACACCGGAGAAAGTGAACGGACCGAGCAGTTGATAAAACGCCGCGGCAGGGTCGTTAAGAAGCTTGAAGTATCCAGAGTGAGTAATTATTATTCAGTTTATTATATAATGCCTACCAACGCTATATAAAGCTAATTACAATTCACTTAGATAGATAATAGTTAAGGAAAATTTGTGACTGAGTGCGGATGATTTCCGATCGAGTTTATACTTCACATCTACTCACAGCAGTAATAGGGGGGGTGGGGCGACGGGGGGGGGGGGGAGGGGGCATGTGTGCACATGTAGTTGTGTATTTTGACGTAATGGTAATTGCTTTCAGTCAATCTTATCAGACACATTACGTATTTAGTTACTCGATGAGTTTGAGACAGGAGGAGCCTCTCAAAACGAAATGCCGTCTTCAAAAGAACCAGTAGCCATCACTACACAGGCCCAGCCATCCCCACCATCCCCAGTATGTGAGCTGCCTGAAGCAAAATCCACGCATTCCGTTACATTATCGTAGCAAAGGTAAATTGTTCTGTATTCATTTGCTACTAGTAATTAATTTAGTAATTATGATGTGGAGGTGCCGTGGGGATTACAGCTAATTATCCCACTAATTGGAGATATAATAATAAACACAAAATAGGCAGAGATATTTTTTAAATTTTTGGCAGCCTTCTCATTCCTTCCAATTTCTTATCAGGTTTAACTTTTTGATATCATAGATGATTACTAACGAGATCTTTTAATCTTGTGTGTTTCCTGCTTTTTACAATATGTACAACCAGTTAAGGGTGTAAAGGAAATACATAGTATTTGTAATTCACAGCAACAAGTTCAAAAGTATGATTATATAATAACTGTTCGTTTTGGCCAAAAAATGAATTTTCCTGGAGTAAACAACAGTTTTCCCACACTTAGCAATGGTAAATGAATCCATCTTTTCATTCAAAGTAAGTCCCTGTTTTTTCTAAAAAGCTTGTTTTTTGTTGTAATCTCTTTAGAGATTATAACAGAGAATAGCCATCTATGGAGGTCACGTGGTCTAAAGCTCAGATATCAGAATAATAGCTATAACTGCCGTTTTTGTGGTACAACAGAATGTATTATATTTCTATGAGTTGTTAACAATGTTTTATTGTGAAATATAGATCGCATACGAAGTTATTATCCCTTTTATTACTCACATTTAATGCTCAATTTAATTTTGATTAATTTTTAAAATGTAATGCAGTTTGGAGAAATTGAGTGGGTCTTGAATAATAAATTTGGTACACTACCGGTAGATTGAGCTAGAACGTATTTTTTTTACTACTAAATTTTAACTTAGTTTTTTATTGCTCACAAATTAATATTCACTCCCTGTAGGGACCATGACGAGAAGAGACAACATGACAGATGTGGGAACTCAATATGACTGTGTAGAATCCCCGTTGTATGACCAAAAACCACAAATATTAATATGAACAAGGTCCCAACATGACGCCCATTAGTTAAATTGTCATTTAACGCCGCCTACCGATGATTCCTGAAGACGATGTTAAACACTAGCAGAGACAGCCCAAGTAAAATCCCAAGCCCTGCGAGACCAGTGATGACAGCTGCCAGAACGCCATCTATGTACGACATTCTGTTTACGACAGGGGTGTGGTCAAGAGGTACTTGTCCACCTAGAAGACAAGTGCACAATCGATTTATTTATTTATTATATTATTTTTAAAATAAATTTGATACTTTTTAGAATCCAATGTCGATGTCCATCAAGTGACCTTAATGAATGCGGTTTCTATANCGATCTAATCTATGAGAATGGGGTGCTAGATGATTACTAACGAGATCTTTTAATCTTGTGTGTTTCCTGCTTTTTACAACATATACAACCAGTTAAGGGTGTAAGGGAAATACATACTATTTGTAATTCACAGCAGCAAGTTCAAAAGTATGAATATATTAAAGGGATATAATAACTGTTCGTTTTGGCCAAAAAATGAATTTTCCTGGAGTAAACAACAGTTTTCCCACACTTAGCAATGGTTAATGAATCCATCTTTTCATTCAAAGTAAGTCCCTGTTTTTTCTAAAAAGCTTGTTTTTTGTTGTAATCTCTTTAGAGATTATAACAGAGAATAGCCATCTATGGAGGTCACGTGGTCTAAAGCTCAGATATCAGAATAATAGCTATAACTGCCGTTTTTGTGGTACAACAGAATGTATTATATTTCTATGAGTTGTTAACAATGTTTTATTGTGAAATATAGATCGCATACGAAGTTATTATCCCTTTTATTACTCACATTTAATGCTCAATTTAATTTTGATTAATTTTTAAAATGTAATGCAGTTTGGAGAAATTGAGTGGGTCTTGAATAATAAATTTGGTACACTACCGGTAGATTGAGCTAGAATGTATTTTTTTACTACTAAATTTTAACTTAGTTTTTTATTGCTCACAAATTAATATTCACTCCCTTTAGGGACCATGACGAGAAGAGACAACATGACAGATGTGGGAACTCAATATGACTGTGTAGAATCCCCGTTGTATGACCAAAAACCACAAATATTAATATGAACAAGGTCCCAACATGACGCCCATTAGTTAAATTGTCATTTAACGCCGCCTACCGATGATTCCTGAAGACGATGTTAAACACTAGCAGAGACAGCCCAAGTAAAATCCCAAGCCCTGCGAGACCAGTGATGACAGCTGCCAGAACGCCATCTATGTACGACATTCTGTTTACGACAGGGGTGTGGTCAAAAGGTACTTGTCCACCTAGAAGACAAGTGCACAATCGATTTATTTATTTATTATATTATTTTTAAAATAAATTTGATACTTTTTAGAATCCAATGTCGATGTCCATCAAGTGACCTTAATGAATGCGGTTTCTATCATAAGCAAACAATAAGCAAATGAAAAACACATTAGATTGCGTGTTTCCATTGCGATATGTTTCCCAAAGTATCATGTAAGTTTTAATAATAGTTTCTTCAAACAACAGTTAGGCTGCGTTCAGATAAACCCAATCATATAAGCTGGAGCGATCCAAATCGATCGTTTCTTCCTAAAGTGCCTCACACGCCTCCTCGAGTGAAACAGCTTCCGATATCCGAGCCCTCACTACAGTTAATTACCCCCTTGCTGGTCGACAATTGCGTTGACCGCGCCTCAGCAAAAATCCCTACTGAATGGGATCAGTCCAGCTATTTAGATGGATTTATCTGAACGCTCCCTTAGACAGTTTCGAACATATCAAGCTGTACTTTAATACCCCGTTCACACTACAATCTGAAATATCCGAATTTTTGCAATGCGAATTACGGGTGAAAAATCCGATTCGGTTGTCTGGCCACACACAGCAAAGGGAAACCGAATCGTGCACTGAAAATTCAGGTAGAGGTTCCGGTTTGAAGAATCGCGCACGCGCAGAATCCATGAAAACAAAAATATGGCGCCAATCATTGCTCTTCTCGCACTCAGTTTTTTTTTCTCGTGTGTTAGTTTTTGGAACATCAAATTTAACCCAAAAGTCGTCAAAAGGAAGATTTAAGTAAGAACAGGAAGAATTTAACGGATACAAGAAGGAGACTAGCCGGATTTCGATGGAGAGTGTGGGTCCACTGACCTGGCATGTTGCTTTTCTTTCCCGCGAGATTTGCTAGTGCATGCGCAGTGCGATCTAAACAGGTGGCCCTTCCGGTAAAGTAACCGAATCGCTGGAGAGAATCCAGCTCGCTAGTAGGATTTTTGGAAACCGGTTTACAAAAATCCTCATGCGTTCAGACTATCGCAATAATTCGAATCTTGACCTAATTCGCTATTTAACCGGTTAAATGACTGCAGTGTGAACGGGGTATTATACCCCGTTCACACTACGCTCAGTTATCCGGATAAGTTGCGAATTAGGTCACAATTCGAATAAATGCAGTAGTGTGAACGCAAGAGGATTTTGAAAATGCGCATTTTCAAAATCCTGCAAGCGAGGTGGATTTCTAAGCGCGATCCGGATAACTTACCGGAATCGACACCTGTACAGATCTTACTGCGCATGTGTGCAGATAAGTGCGGGTATCTATGAACGCTGGTTTATTACTTTAGCGATTGCACCAAACGTATTTGGCGGTCACCGCTCACTACAACATGAGGAAACACTTATTTTGCCACCTTATACTTCTCAAGAATGCTGGAATGTCTTTTGAGTTGCATTTGTCGTCACAAATTTTTGTTGATATTTTAAGATTTCCTGTGCGGCGCATGCGCGAGTGTTCAAAACAGGAAGTTTAACCTGAAATTTTCAACGTGGGATTCGGATTCGCTTAGCGAGTGTGAACGCAATACCGAATCGGATTCCTTACGAAAAATCCGAATTATAGAAATGCGCATTTTGGCAACTGTAGTGTGAACGGGGTATAAGTTGAGAGATTACACAACAACACCCGCACACGAAGCGGTCAATAAATTATCTAAACAGAACGAAGCGAACTTGTGAAAGATAATAAATTTGCCTACAGCATAATTAAAGCATTTCACATTAAGAAATATTTGTACGTACCAGGCCACTTTAACAGAGATTCATCAATGCTGATTTGCCCTGTGATCTCGTTGTGCACCCCAACAGCCACTTGGACAGAGTCTGAAATTTACCACAGCGCAGCGGTTACCATTGATACGAAGTACGGTTGCTATGATAACATAAACCGAATTAATGACAACGGCGTAACTGATTACGTGCATTCACTTATCGTTATCTTCGATTTTCGCATTAAGGCGTTCATATAAGCCAGTTGATTGATGTGGCTTCCAAATCTGCGTGACGAATGAGTCTGGATTCATGCTGCCTATGACAGAGAGACGGTGGGGAAAGAGAGAGAGGCGGGAAACAAATATATTATTATGGGTTCAGACACTTCCGGGGAACATTTACCTTGGACTTGGGTGATTTCCATCTGCCAAGGCCTGCTACCGTTTCCATAAAATGACATTGGACCCTAAAATAATATTTGTTTAAGAAGTTCGATGACGACGCACAAATATGTCATTCCATTATTTATTTACTAGTCATTTATTTATTTACTAGTCAAATTTAAATATGATTTTTTCTCTTTCTTTGGGTCACACGTTTGCTTCAGCGAGAGATTGGATTTTAATAATGTAAAATCGATTCAAATCAAAGAAATGTGACCAGAAAAATCAAACAGGCTCCAAAGAAAATAACGTTTACCATACTTTAAAAACGCTTGTTTCTACCCAATATGTATTTTCCTTACCGTCATCCCTGTAAAATTTGTTTTCTTCAATTCCTCCATGAGAATACTCAACAGGTGACTGTCTTCGTAGGTGAAGTCATCGAGCCGCTTTGGCCTGACAACTGTTTCTCCGTCAACAACCTCCGTGACGACCTGAGTGGACATGAAAGAATATATATATATATTTTTTTTCTTAAGTTCCATCGTGATACATGTATATATGAAGTGCAGCAAATGCGTTAAGTCCTTTTCGTATCAAGAGGTCCAGATTTCTGTACCGCACCAGTTTGTCTGATTCTGACATGAACTTCTGTCGGGGGTCGAGGAACGGGAAAGTATGGGGGTTATTTCCTTCAACAAACCCCAAAACAACAATCAAAAGCAGTTTGGTTAACTGGTCGTGTCGAGCGCGAGTTTTTGTGAATCTCTTAGGTAAAAGCCATGCTTAGATGGCACCGTTCTAAAATAAAATAAACTAAAAACGTAATTTTAGGGCCCTTCAACGGACTTCTAACGCCTCGCCAAGGGGCGGGAAGGGGAGGCGTCGCCTGCCGTTCCTAAAAAAGGACACCCTTCGAACAATCCTGGATCAGCCCCTGCGTTCGATGTTTAAAATGCGTTGAAAATATACGGGCAGGGTAGGGAGACAAGAACAAAGCACCCTCCTGTCGGTTTCAGCAAGCTCTGCTGACAATATGAATGAAGAAGAGAAAATCAGAAGGGTTGTTCAGAACCAAATTAATCGGCGGACTTACAGATCCACGGATCAAACATGGCGCACACTTGACAATGGATTCCCTCCTCCCCTTGCGCCGTCCCTGCAGGAACAGAGCAATTGAATCTCGACATGGTTTCAAGTGGATATGTAAGTCAGCGGATCAAATGGTTCTGAATAGGCCCTTAGATACTAGTCGATCTGAAGTGCTCGTTTTTTTTAATTGCTGTCAGCAGCTTCCGACAGTGATAAGCAATCTCTATCAAACTGTTTGTGTGTTCATGACGGATCAAATATCTTGAAACACATCTAGCTGGCTATAAAATCACTTAAGGGAACACTTCGCGCCATTGGTAATTTTTGCATTGACAATTTAAATATTTATGACCATTAAAACACTGGCAACGCCTAGCAACCGGCGTCATAAGTATGGCGCCAAAAGGAGAACAATGACATTCAAATGAGAAAGCGACCTCATAAAGTGACAAGAACTTGCAAATAAGCAGTTAAGAGTACAACTTTTGAACATTTCAATTTTTCGACTGTCAGTTATTTTCGCAGGCGGTTTTCATTCTTACGAACAATTGCATTCAGCAAGTAAAACAAGTTCGAATCAATGGAAATGAATTAAAACTTACCTGTTTAGCTACTTCGGGAATAGCAGAGTTCAGGGCCAGTGCAGCTGCCCATATGGCGTCATAGCCAAAGGGGTGGTAATCGTTAAAACCATACTTTTCAAAACTGGGCCACTGTTTATAGCGTCTTTCATACTGATCGAACGACTGAAAATAAATTTAAAAAAAATACCTGTACATGTACAAACAAGTACCGTATGAGAAATAACGTAAGATGGTTAAAACTTAAAAAAAGAAAGCACTTCGTAGGCAATATATGAAAAAGGTGTCATTTATGTAATACAAGTGCCACATAGTTGATCTTACCTAAATGATGGAAAGAGTACTAGAAAAGGGTATAATTTTACATGTACAATTCACCATAAATTTCAGAAATTAGCTTCATTTGGGCTAGATTCACTATGAACAGGTTAAATATACAAATGCGCTGATGATTTACCAGCCCATTTATCGTCTCAAGACCATGAGTAAACTTCTCAAAGGTCAGAAGCTCCATTAAGGTCAGCGCGTGCTCGGTGGCGGCCTTGATCTCCGACGGGTCACAAGCCGTATCATTGACCGACATCCAGTCTTTATTATACCAGCCGTAGTACAGCCACACCACTTTCCCGCCGCTCATGCCGAACCGATAAGCCTGTGGATTGCGACAGATGGCGCTAAATTTACAGCAAAAACCCGTCCCAATAATTTCTCAGCTAATTGCGTTTACGTCTTTTACCATACTGCGTATCTTTACGACAGTCATTAGAATAAACTCGCTTGACCTTGGCCTAATTTTAATCCTTCAATTTAACAGACCTTATCATAACCTTGACCTTACATGTACATTGACCTTTATATAGCTTACATGTGTACCAGTACCTTGCAAAGAATTCTACGGAAGGTTTGCTCAGAGCCGTCGAAGATGATAATGCGGGCGTCACGATTCTACAAGAAAATATTATCAGCTTTAATAAAAGTGGTAGGCCTACATGTAAATATGAAATAAATATACCTAAATAATTGTAGTTGTGCTAGTACTGTTGACATATACAGCGAGAAAGCAGTCCCAAATGCGGACACAGACTTAAATGGTGTGATACGTTCCCACAGACGACACGTTAGAGAAGACGCCATTATGGCCCCATTCACAACGTTAGTTGATCCGCACAATTCCCTCGGGGAACGCATTGGTGTCTGTTTAAGGATTATGCAGCACGCTTTCAAGTGGGTCGGCCATAATTGATCCGCGGATGTGGTAAAGTCCGCGGATCAACTTGTTCTGAATGTGCCTCATGTGTACTAACCTTGAGGTCCTGTATCTGTACATCTGACAATTCGTCTATATCGCCTACGGTATGGTAAGCCAAGCTCTCGATACCATTGTTTTCAAATAACTTGTGAAGAATTGCCATATTCTGTTGACAAGAAACACAACTATTTTTAACAAGCTTCAGAAAGGTTTTGGTTGAGTTTACCAAAACCGGTGCTGATTGAAAATTTGTCGATGTAAGCAATATTTTATTTTGTTCCACAAGCACAAGGTTCTACTCCTACGCTTGACTTACAAAGGTATCCGGTAGCCAACATACAGTCTTAATTAAGTACTTAAACTTTCTTTTTTTTTTGGGGGGGGGGGGAGGAGGGGTATGTCTTACTTGCATATGTTTAAAAAACAAATGAAATTATTTCAACCTACTGCACACGCCTGTATGGTATATAGTCTGGCTGTCTTTCTGACTCTCTCTCTCTCTCTCTCTCTCTCTCCCTCTCTCTCTCTCTCTCTCTCTCTATATATATATATATATATATACCTCTTGACATTCATATCCAATGGTGGCGACTCGTTTCCACCCATAGTGCTGTACAATGGCCAAATGAGCTTTTAGATAAGAACCCGTGGTCGGAATGTTCCTCCAAAACGTACGATAGATGTCTCTCTTCGATAGCTTCAGACGTGCAGCACCATATGAGATCTGAAAACACCATACTTGATTAAGAGAAGTTGTTTCCATAAACGAAACAACAAAAAGACAGCTTATGTTAAATGTCACAGAACAATGAGGCAATATTTTGTTGTGGCATTTTTGGGACAGAAGCTGGAGGTCATGTTATCCTGCCCGCCTGTGCGTCCGTCTGTCCGTGCGTCCGTCTGTTTATTTGTCCGTGCATTAAAGGGATAACATCTGTTCAAAGAGTATAGAATAATTGCGGACTAACAGATTCGCAGATCAAATGTGACCGACACACTTGAAAGCTTACAGGGTAATTACCTTGGGAAGTCCATACAGTGTCTATTAGGACGGCCATATTTGATCCGCGGGTCTGTTTGTCAGCAGCTCAACTCGGTTGTGAATTCGGCTTCGGACGTACCTGAATGAGATTGAAGAAAGGAGTCGTTTGAGCAGTGGCAACCGTGGATACACTGCACCCTCCACCTATCACCATTATCTTTTGGGGTGGACGTTGGATAGCTCTAACCAGAGCGGCGGCGGCAGCTCCATAATTACACTGAAATAAAAGTTATATATATATATATATATATATATACACACACACACACACACACACACACACACACACACACCAAAATAGCCATTAAAAATAAATTAGTCACCAGTGCCCTTGTTGGCAGTCACCTTTTGGTGGAAACCCGTAGGACTTGTTAAGCAAGTAAAACGTAAAAAACAACCTAAACCATTTATTCAGAGATATAAAGAATGCGTTTTAAAATAATAATCCATTAGCCATGAGACGTATTCCCAATCAGGTGAACAAAAAGTCGGTTAAAATTGCGTGAGTGCATTATCATCCTCAATTAATTTGTAAATGGATCCGGAGACAAACTCTACCGGGAGATGCGCCCTGTGCTTTATCAATTAAGCACTGCTGACCGCAAAAAATGGATGAATGCTTTAAAAGTCAGCTCTTGTTGGTATGAGCAAAAAGACAGAAGTACCTGTAACACACATTTTAAGAGACTCGGGTTGAATGCTAGCATGTTGACCCTGTCCTGCGCTGTACTCACTAGCTGTACTAGCTAACCTTATCCTCAAGGGGATTGAGATCGTAAGGTGGCTAATTTGATAAACCAATTATCGTCACCAGTAGGATTTGAACAGTCACATCTATCAGTATGAAAACTGTCAAACATTGGCTTGCCGTCTCGTGGGAGGAGATAATTTGTTATGGGTCTTAATTTTGTCGCCAGGGAAACACAAATGGGTTTAAATAATTCCAATCAGTTCTGGGCGATGCAGGGAGCCATTTTTCCTTTGTAAATTATTAAATAATTTAGTTCTAAACATTCCCTTAACGTACAGACAAATATGTTATCCTACCTGTACTACATTTCGAAAGTAAATATCGATATGTTGTATTTTGAGAAGGTTAAAAGTGTTTTTAATTAAGAAAGATAATTAGCTATCCAGGATATGCAGACATACAAAATATAACTAAGGGAAAGCTCGAGTATAACCTAAATCTCCATCAGTTTCCAACTGTCGCACTTTGGCAGGGAAGCAGTTTTGCTTCGATAGATGTCTCTAGGGATTGTTAATAATGATAAATCGACAACTGTTTTATCCCTTTTTATCAGTGTCCGCGTAACAGAAAGTCCGCCATTCATTTAGTTATAATGGTTAGGATTAGCGTGACCTAAGTGGGTCAAAATCTAGGGCGAGGCTTAGACCACAGGGTACACCTTAGACCACATGTTAAATAAAATACGCCACATTACGTCAGTAGATGTACACATTTCTTTATTCTTTTTTTTTTTTATGCGTCGTCTCTGGTGGCGACAATTGAAGAATTGAAGTTGGTCTAAGTTGGTCCCGTGAACGAACCCAGTCATTTCTAAGTAAAAGAGAAAGCAGACGGATCGCATAGCAGTGACAGGAACAGGTTTTAATAAAAGCAAATCTGGCGGCGTAAAACCAATTCTATTTAAGTAATATTACCTGGAAAATTTGAAAATCGAAACATCCATGCAACACATAAGTGGTCAGTAAATGGAAGGGTGTTTCGTTTGAGAATGAAAGGATATTGTTCCATTTTTCAATTTACCATTTAAAATAAAAATACTTGTGCAACACAAAAATTGATTAGCAAAAAGGAAGTTCATTCAGCTAACAGTAAAATGCTATTGTTGCGTTTTTTTTTCATTGAAAACTTGACCAATTTCTGTTCCACGCATTGTAATTTAACTGATAAATGATTTGGTAGGTATGTCTCAGTTGACATACAAAGGCTATAAGGCTATTATATAGTTTATTGAAAATATCATAATCACACTTAATATGAAGAGAGTTGTAAAGTAAACGTAGCTGAAAAAGGAAATATAAGTAACAAAGAACAACAAAAAAGCGATTATGAACATGCTCAAAAAATAAAAAAAAATCACATTACCTTTGTATCCATAACAACATAGTTCAAATGATACCCTGGTAGGACGTTTGGATCAGCGTTCACGTCATGAACCGCCATTTCCAAAGCTGGTACCACCCCAGCGCTGTTCCAGCCCTCTTTTACGTTAATGTCAGCAAACATGACGAATGTTAAATTCCGCAAAGTGGTTGTTGACCCATTCATCGCCATCGGTGTTGTAAGGCGTAACTGAGAATCTGTGGACGAGGGTAGTGAAAACGGTGCGGCAGTGGTTGCAGGTGATCTGTTCAAAGCTAAAGCGGCAATAGTTGGCGACTTTGGCCTTGCTGTGGTGTCAGACGCTCCCTTGCGAGTCGTCACATTGATACTAGACTCCCGTACGCGAGATGTCTCGTTCGTGTACGCCACATTTCCACGTATTGACTCCAATGATTGAGAACCGCTGTTCGGTTTAACCGTCCCAGAGCCTGAATACGTCGTGTTTTCAGTCACTGTGTCACCTACAGTGAAGCCATTCACCGAAAAAAGGTTGCAAACGAACATTGTAACGAAGATCGAACCGACTCGTGGTAGATACATGTTGCAAGCGTGGCAAGATTACATTCCATATACCTTAGAGTACAATACCAAAACGTGAAACAGTGTTGAAGTACAGCCAAACCAAGAAATCAGTTCATAACAGCTTTAAGTGCAAATCCGTGTTGTTGATTGTATGTTAAACAGTCACAGTATTTCCTTTACATATGTGCGTCCTTGACTGATACAAAAGCCCACAGGAATAGAAACAACAAGGTCAATACGGTTGATATAAAAACATAACATCTAGATTAATTTGTGCTCTTCTCTCATGTCGCCCAGTTCAATGCCGACTGTTCCGCGCCTGTTCAGCACCGCTTTATACATAAACCTGCAAAGCTTACAACAGAGGAAATCTGTCAATTTATTAATGAATTGCCAGACACGGAAAAATTCATCTGTGTCACGAATCGCTGCCATATCGAGTGCGTACCGTGGTTAACCCACACACGTGATACATGAAAAATTGATATGAATATACCAATGAAAAGAACTCATCAAACTGTTGCGTTGAACATTTCGAATAAGCCAGCTGAACTCTTTCTACCCTGTTTCCGTAATATGACAAGTTCGTATGTGCCTATTAGAGTTGACGTCAAGCTAACAGCTTGGTTACAAAAACAAATATTTGGGCCTTTATCTTATGTCTCAAAGCAACCACCATATAACTGACAGGTTGAAAATCAACCTGCAGATTTTTGGACTAATGCCGTGGTGTAGAAGTATTTTATGTTGAACTGATTGCTATTCTAGATGTTCGCATTAAATATCACTCAACATTGATCTGTCCCTGTAATTAAATACACTTCTAATTGCGCTGTTTAAAATGGAACAAGTATCATTTTCTGAATTATTTAACAAAATTGCTCTTCCGTATAAAGTGCTAAAATGACAGTCAATATTTTGGCGCCATGTAATGATCATGCGATAGTCTGAAATGGGTGTTTCATGTGTATTTCCTACATGTACTAGCCATGGGGGACCCATGGGAAAGGTGAAAACATGTTGTTCGCATATTTTGTGCATCTGTTGGATACAATACAAAATACAATACGATACAAATGCAATACAATGCAATACAATACAATACAAAAATGTGCGAAACGGTCAATAAATTTAATGTGATCAATTACCAAAAAAAATAAAATATATGCTGTATTAGGATCTTGGTAACTGGTCATACAAGGGATCGAGTGTCCATATGGGACGGCTATACACATCGTGGAAGAAGTAAGCTCAACACCTGCGCTATACTTTATGGGTACATTTGGGTTAAAGAACGCTTGGGTTAAAGATATGTAGTTACTCCGTGCACATATTGTTTTTCAGTGCAATGTGTGTAAAAGAGGATAAATGCTTTAATGATCTACATGTATCCGCTCAAGGTACTTGCACTTTGGGTGTTCAATTCCCTTCTTATATATTTATTTGATTTAGTATATCAATGGCTTTTCACCACCGCGAAAGCGTGAATAAGATAAAAAGTTATGACATACTCCTTACCTCAATTGCAAGGGTGGTGGGCGGGGCAAATGAGAGATTAGGTCGGTTTCCTGCGGTTAGTAATCGATTTCACATTATCTGCAGAAGAGTTGNGTATATATATATATATATATATATATATATATATATATTTTTTTTTTTTTTTTTTTTTTTTTTTTTTTCTTAAGTTCCATCGTGATACATGTATATATGAAGTGCAGCAAATGCGTTAAGTCCTTTTCGTATCAAGAGGTCCAGATTTCTGTACCGCACCAGTTTGTCTGATTCTGACATGTACTTCTGTCGGGGGTCGAAGAACGGGAAAGTATGGGGGTTATTTCCTTCAACAAACCCCAAAACAACAATCAAAACCAGTTTGGTTAACTGGTCGTGTCGAGCGCGAGTTTTTGTGAATCTCTTAGGTAAAAACCATGCCTAGATGGCACCGTTCTAAAATAAAATGAACTAAAATACGTAATTTTTAGGGCCCTTCAACGGGCTTCTAACGCCTCGCCAAGGGGCGAGAAGGGGAGTCGTCGCTGCGTTCCTAAAAAAGGACACCCTTCGAACAATCCTGGATCAGCCCCTGCGTTCGATGTTTAAAATGCGTTGAAAATATACGGGCAGGGTAGGGAGACAAGAACAAAGCACCCTCCTGTCGGTTTCAGCAAGCTCTGCTGACAGTATGGATGAAGAAGAGAAAATCAGAAGGCTTGTTCAGAACCAAATTAATCGGTGGACTTACAGATCCACGGATCAAACATGGCGCACACTTGACAATGGATTTCCCCCTCCCCTTGCCCCGTCCCTGCAGGAACAGAGCAATTGAATCTCGACATGGTTTCAAGTGAATATGTAAGTCAGCGGATCAAATGGTTCTGAATAGGCCCTTAGATACTAGTCGATCTGAAGTACTAGTTTTTTTAATTGCTGTCAGCAGCTTCCGACAGTGATGAGCAATTTCTATCAAACTGTTTGTGTGTTCATGACGGATCAAATATCTTGAAACACATCTAGCTGGCTATAAAATCACTTAATGGAACACTTCGCGCCATTGATAATTTTTGCATTGACAATTTAAATATTTATGACAATTAAAACACTGGCAACGCCTAGCAACCGGCGTCATAAGTATGGCACCAAAAGGAGAACAATGACATTCAAATGAGAAAGCTACCTCATAAAGTGACAAGAACTTGCAAATAAGCAGTTAAAAGTACAACTTATGAACAATTCAATTTTCGACTGTCAGTCATTTTCGCAGGCGGTTTTCATTCTTACGAAAAATTGCATTCAGCAAGTAAAACAAGTTCGAATCAATGGAAATGAATTAAAGCTTACCTGTTTAGCTACTTCGGGAATAGCAGAGTTCAGGGCCAGTGCAGCTGCCCATATGGCGTCATAGCCATAGGGGTGGTAATCGTTAAAACCATACTTTTCAAAACTGGGCCACTGTTTATAGCGTCTTTCATACTGATCGAACGACTGAAAATTAATAAAAAAAATACCTGTACATGTACAAACAAGTACCGTATGAGAAATAACGTAAGATGGGTTAAAACTTAAAAAAAAAAAAGAAAACACTTCGTAGGCAATATATGAAAATGGTGCCATTTATGTAATATAAGGGCCACATATTTGATCTTACATAAATGAGGGAAAGAGTACTAGAAAAGGGTATAATTTTACATGTACAATTCACCATAAATTTCAGATATTAGCTTCATTTGGGCTAGATTCACTATGAACAGGTTAAATATACAAATGCGTTGATGATTTACCAGCCCATTTATCGTCTCAAGACCGTGAGTAAACTTCTCAAAGGTCATAAGCTCCATCAAGGTCAGCGCGTGCACGGTGGCGGCCTTGATCTCCGACGGGTCACATGCCGTATCATTGACCGACATCCAGTCTTTATTATACCAGCCGTAGTACAGCCACACCACTTTACCGCCGCTCATGCCGAACCGATAAGCCTGTGGATTACGATAGAAGGCGCTTAATTTACAGCAAAAACCCGTCCCTGTAATTCCTCAGCTAATTGTATTTACGTATTTTACCATACTGCGTATCTTTACGACAGACATTAGAATAAACTCGCTTGACCTTCGCCTAATTTTAATCCTTTACTTTAACTGACCTTATCATAACCTTGACCTTACATGTACATTGATCTTTATATAGCTTACATGTGTACCAGTACCTTGCAAAGAATTCTACGGAAGGTTTGCTCAAAGCCGTCGAAGATGATAACGCGGGCGTCACGATTCTACAAGAAAATGTTATCAGCTTTAATAAAAGTGGTACATGTAAATATGAAATAAATATAACTAAATAATTATAGTTGTGCTAGCACTGTTGACATATACAGCGAGAGAGCAGTCCCAAATGCGGACACAGACTCAAATGGTGTGATACGTTCCCACAGACGTTAGAGAAGACGCTATTATGGCCACATTCACAACCATAGTTGATCCGTGCAACTCCCTCGGGGAACGCATTGGTGTCTGTTAAAGGATTATGCAGCACGCTGTTAAGTGGGTCGGCCATATTTGATCCGCGGATGTGTTTTTAGCCCGAGGACCATATTGTTCTGAATGTGCCCCATGTGTAGTACTAACCTTGAGGTCCTGTATCTGTACATCTGACAATTCGTCTATATCGCCTACGGTATGGTAAGCCAAGCTCTCGATACCATTGTTTTCAAATAACTTGTGAAGGATTGCCATATTCTGTTGACAAAAAAAACACAATTATTTTTAATAAGCTTCAGAAAGGTTTTGGTTGAGTTTACCAAAACCGGTGTTGATTGAAAATCTGTCGATGTAAGCAATATTTTATTTTGTTCCACAAGCATAAAGTTCTACTCCTTACGTAGCACTTGACTTACAAAGGTGTCCAGTAGCCAACGTACAGTCTTAATTAAGTACTTTAACTTTCTTTTTTTTTTTTGGGGGGGGGGGGGATATGTCTTCCTTGCATATGTTTAAGAAACAAATGAAATTATTTCAACGTACTGCACACGCCTGTATGGTATATAGTCTGGCTGTCTTTCTGGCTGACTCTCTCTCTCTCTCTCTCTCTCTCTCTCTCTCTCTCTCTCTCTCTCTCTATATATATATATATATATATATATATATATATATATATATATATATATATATATATATATATATATGCCTACCTCTTGACATTCATATCCAATGGTGGCGACTCGTTTCCACCCATAGTGCTGTACAATGGCCAAATAAGCTTTTAGATAAGAACCCATGGTCGGAATGTTCCTCCAAAACGTACGATAGATGTCTCTCTTCGATAGCTTCAGACGTGCAGCACCATATGAGATCTGAAAACACCAAACTTGATTAAGAGAAGTTGTTTCCATAAACGAAACAACAAATAGACAGCTTACTTAATATGTTAAATGTCACAGAACAATGGGGCAATTTTTTGTGGTGACAGAAGCCGGAGATCATGTTATCCAGCCCATCTAAGAAATCTGTTCTAAGAGCATAGAATAATTGCGGACCAACGAGTATGGTCGATATACTTGAAAGCTTACTTGGTAATCCCGGGAGGAATCCATTCAGTGTATATTAGGGGATTATTTGGCAAACGTTCAAGTAGGACGGCCATATTTGATCCGCGGATCTGTTAGTCAGCAGCTCAACTCGGATGTGAATGCGGCTTCGGACGTACCTGAATGAGATTGAAAAAGGGAGTCGTCTGAGCAGTGGCAACCGTGGATACACTGCACCCTCCACCTATCACCATTATCTTTTGGGGTGGACGTTGGATAGCTCTAACCAGAGCCGCGGCGGCAGCTCCATCATCACACTGAAATAAAGGTGATATATACCCACACACACACACACACACCAAAATAGCCATCAAAAATAAATTAGTCACCAGTGGCCTTGTTGGCAGTCACCTTCTGATGGAAACCCGTAGGACAAGTAAGTAAAACGTATAAACCAACCTAAACCATTTATTCACAGATGTAAAGAATGCGTTTTAAAATAATAATCCATTAGCCATGAGGCGTATTCCCAATCAGGTGAACAAAAAGTCGGTTAAAGTTGCGTGAGTGCATTATCATCCTCAATTAATTTGTAAATGGATCCGGAGACAAACTCTACCGGGAGATGCGCCCTATGCTTTATCAATTAAGCACTGTTGACCGCAAAAAATGGATGAATGCTTTAAAAGTCAGCTCTTGTTGGTATGAGCAAAAAGACAGAAGTACCTGTAACACACATTTTAAGAGACTTGGCTCGATTTTTCACATATTATAATTGGTAAATGGACCCCTCCCCCCCCCCCTTAAAAAAATAATAAATAAGCACGTCCCTTCATCGAACAAGGGGAAACTCTGTTTCTTTGCCATCTATGCGCAATTTTGCGGAAAATACCATCGGATTGTCTTTGTCTATGCAGTGAGTAAACTTTCAGGGCAAATGCTAGCATGTTGACGCTGTCCTGCGCTGTACTAACTACCTGTACTAGCTAACCTTATCCCAAAGGGAATTGAGATCCTAAGGTGGCTAATTTGATAAACCAATTATCGTCACCAGTGGGATTTGAACAGTCACATCTATCAGCATGAAAACTGTCAAACATTGGCTTGCCGTCTCGTGGGAGGAGATAATTTGTTATGGGTCTTAATTATGTCGCCAGGGAAACACAAATGGTTTTAAATAATTCCAAGCAGTTCTGGGCGATGCAGGGCACCATTGTCCTTTGTAAATATTAAATAATTTAGTTCTAAACATTTCTCTTGACGTACAGACAAATATGTTACCATACCCGTACTTCATTTCGAAAGGAGATATCGATATGAAGTATTTCATTTGAGAAGGTTAAAAGTGTTTTAAATTAAGAAAGATGATAACCTATCCAGGATATGCAGACATACAAAATATAACTAAGGGAAAGCTCGGTAACAGTTTGGAACTGTCGCACTTTGGCAGGGAAGCAGTTTTACTTCAATAGATGTCTCTAAACAAGGAATTGTTAATAATGATAAATCGACTACTGTTTTATCCCTTTTTATCTAAGTTTCACTTTTTTTTACTCAGTGGTCTTTTCACACAGCGGTGTAATGGAACTGAGGGTCCCTGTAACAGAAAGTCCACCATTCATTTAGTTATAATGGTTAGGGTTAGCCTGACCTAAGTGGGTCAAAATCTAGGGCGAGGCTTAGACCACAGGGTACACCTTAGACCACATGTTAAATAAAATACGCCATATTACGTCAGTCGATGTACACATTTCTTTATTCTTTTTTTAACATGTGTCGTCTCTGGTGGCGTCAATTGAAGAATTGAAGTTGGTCTAAGTTGGTCCCGTGAACGAACCCAGTCATTTCTAAGTAAAAGAGAAAGCAGACAGATCGCATAGCAGTGAAAACAGAAGCGACAGGTTTTAATAAAAGCACATCTGGCGGCGTAAAACCAATTCTATTTAAGTTATATTACCTGGAAAATTTGAAAATCGAAACACCAATGCAACACAAAAGTGGTCAGTAAATGGAAGCGTGTTTCATTTGAAAATGAAAGGATATTGTTCCAATTTTTTTAATTTACCATTTAAAATAAAAATACTTGCGCAACACAAAAATTGATTAGCAAAAAGGAAGTTCATTCAGCTAACGGTAAAATGCTATTGTTGCGTTTTTTTCATTGAAAACTTGACCGATTTCTGTTTCACGCATTGTAATTTAACTGATAAATGATTTGGTAGGTATGTCTCAGTTGACATACAAAAGCTATAAGGCTATTATACAGTTTATCGAAAATATTATAATCACAATTAATATGAAGAGAGTTGTGAAGTAAACGTAGCTGAAAAAGGAAATAAAAGTAACAAAGAACAACAAAAAAAAAGCGATTATGAACATGCTCAAAAATAAAAATAATCACAATACCTTTGTATCCATAACAACATAGTTCAAATGATACCCTGGAAGGACGTTTGGGTCAGCGTTCACGTCATGAACCGCCATTTCCAAAGCTGGCACCACCCCAGCGCCATCCCAGCCCTCTTTTACGTTAATGTCAGCAAACATGACGAATGTTAAATTCCGCAAAGTGGTTGTTGACCCATTCATCGTCATCGGTGTTGTAAGGCGTAACTGAGAATCAGTGGACGAGGGAAGTGATTCTTGTAAAAACTGTGCGGCAGTGGTTGCAGGTGATCTGTTTAAAGCGAAAGCGGCCATAGTTGGCGACTTTGGCCTTGCTGTGGTGTCAGACGCTCCCTTGCGAGTCGTCACATTGATGCCAGACTCCCGTACGCGAGATGTCTCGTTCGTGTACGCCACATTTCCACGTATTGACTCCAATGATTGAGAACCGCTGTTCGGTTTAACCGTCCCAGAGCCTGAAGACGTCGTGTTTTCAGTCACTGTGTCACCTACAGTGAAGCCATTCACCGAAAAAAGGTTGCAAACGAACATCGTAACGAAGATCGAACCGACTCGTGGTAGATGCATGTTGCAAGCGTGGCACGATTACATTCCATGTACCTTAGAGTACAATACCAAAACGTGAAACAGTGTTGAAGTACAGCCAAACCAAGAAATCAGTTCATAACAACTTTAAGTGCAAATCCGTGTTGTTTATTGTATGTTAAACAGTCACAGTATTTCCTTTTCATATGTGTGTCCTTGATTGATACAAAAGCCCACAGGAATAGGTTGAACAAGGTCAATACGGTTGATATTAAAAACATATCATCTAGATTAATTTGAGCTCTTCTCTCATGTCGCCCAGTTCAATGCCGACTGCCCCGCGCCTTGCGTGCTGAGAAGGCGTAGTTCTTCAGCACCTCTTTGTACATAAACCTGAAAAGCTTACAACAGAGGAAATCTGTCAATTTAATAATGAATTGCCAGACACGGAAAAATTCATCTCTAGGTCACGAATCGCTGCCATATCGAGTGCGTACCGTGGTTAACCCACACACGTGATACATGAAAAATTGATATGAATATACCAATGAAAAGAACTCATCAAACTGTTGCGTTGAACGTTTCGAATAAGCCAGATGGACTCTTTCTACGCTGTTTCCGTAATATGACAAGTTCGTACGTGCCTATTAGAGTTGACGTCAAGCTAACAGCTTGGTTACAAAAACAAATATTTGGGCCTTTATCTTATGTCTCAAAGCAACCACCATATAACTGACAGGTTCAAAATCAACCTGCAGATTTTTGGACTGATGCCGTGTATGTGTATTTTCTGTTGATCTGATTGCCACAGTAGATGTTCGCATTAAATATCACTCGACATTGATCTGTCCCTGATATTAAATACACTTCTAATTGTGCTGTTTAAAATGGAACAAGTATCATTTTCTGAATTATTTAACGGAATTGCTCTTCCGTATAAAGTGCTAAAATGACAATCAATCTTTTGGCGCCATGTAATGATCATGCGATAGTCTTAAATGGGTGTTTTATGTGTATTTCCTACATGTACTAGCCAAAGGGGACCCATGGGAGAGGTGAAAACATTTTGTTTGCATAATTTGTGCACCTGTTGCATACAATACAAAATACAATACGATACAAATACAATACAATGCAATGCAATACAATGCAATGCAATGCAATGCAGTACAATGCAATACAATACAATACAAAAATGTGCGAAACATCCCAATATACGGTCAATAAATTTAATGTGATCAATTACCAAAAAAATAAAGCATTTGCTATATTAAGATCTTGGTAACTGGTCATACGGCAATTGGTTATACAAGGCATTGGCTGTGCATTGGATGGCTATTGACATCGTGGAAGAATTAAGCTCAACACCTGCGCTATACTTTATGGGTATATTTGGGTTAAAGATCGCTTAGATATGTAGTTACTCCGTGCACATATTGTTTTTCAGTGCAATGTGTGTAAAAGAGGCAAAATACTAAAATGATCTACATGCGACAAGACTTAAGCGAAAAGACACTAAAAAGACTCTTAAGACATATGGACACAGAAGTTTCGAGATTTGTGCACCGATTTATGGTCTAATTTTATCACAAGATCTAATGTGTCTCTGGATGACTCATATTACTGTTTTAAGAAGAATTTAAAAACTTTTTTATTTAAAGAATACTTTAATTTATAGCATCTTTTTAGTTTTTTAAATTTTTAAGTATCCTGTTTTTAGTCTATACTGGCTTTAATTTATCTGTGGAGTTTATATTTTTTATGTAAACAGCGCTGAGACGCATGTGTAGCGCGGTTTTAAAGAAGTGTTTTATTATTATTATTATGTATCTACTCAAGGTACTTGTAGTTTGGGTGTTCAATTCCCTTCTTATATATTTATTTGATTTAGTATATCAATGTCTTTTTCACCACCGCGAAAACATGAATAAGATAAAAAGTTATGTCTTGCTCCTTACCTTAATTGCAAGGGTGGTGGGCGGGGCAAATGAGAGATTAGGTCGGTTTCCTGCGATTAGTACAGTAATCGGTATCACATTATCTGCAGAAGTGGCGCAAGCGTGATAAGATAAGACGTCCCAACTTAGCCAAGAATGCTCCTTCTGAAGAGAAAAAGCAAAAAGATTGGTCTCCTGTATACATCGTTTGCATTGATACACTTAATGAAGATCTGTTAATAAAATATGCATTATGTATATAGGTACTATGANAGATTAGGTCGGTTTCCTGCGGTTAGTAATCGATTTCACATTATCTGCAGAAGAGTTGCAAGCGTGATAAGATAAGACGTCCCAACTTAGCCAAGAATGCTCCTTCTGAAGAGAAAAAGCAAAAAGATTGGTCTCCTGTATACATCGTTTGCATTGATACACTTAATGAAGATCTGTTAATAAAATATGCATTATGTATATAGGTACTATGAAACATTATAACTCGAACTGTTTGAATTAATACACTAAATGAAAATCTGTTTATAAAACATGCATTATGTAAGCACTATGAAACCTGACACTCAAACTGTTCATATGTGAGTCTGTTAAATTGGACACCCTACCTCGATGGATAACCTCGTCGCTCATATTTACATGTTATTGATTTATAGAGGTAAATGTTTAAATGACACAGATGAGCACGCAAAGCATTAACTGTTAACGAAATCTACACGTGCGCCAGCTTATACGTACAAGAAACGATTTACCTACTGATCCATTCGATGATCAAGTTTTGTTCGTCAACTAACCATCATTTAACACAACCGGGGTTCTTAAAGGCCATGGACAATGCTTTTAACTGCCTAAAATGAAAAGGATATATATCTGAAATGGATACTAATATAGCTATACCTGAGGACGGTTCCAGGAAAGGACTTTAGCCTCCAATTTCGTCTTGATTTTCAGAGAAAAAATGTCTTAATATATGAATGAATAATATTGCGCGTTTATAAAACAAGGAGGTTATGAATAATGGTCAGTCAAATACAGTAGACTTCCATGAATTTCTCTTGAACTCAAATTGACCAAATTTTGGGTCTGAAAGTTAAGACCCATTTCAGGCTTAAGTTCCTTTGTGAAAGCGGTTGTTGGTCGTACCGGTGTAACGAAACAGAGGGTTTGTGTAACAGAAAGCCCGCCCCTCCTCCCATTTGGTTATAATGGTTAGGGTTAGCCTGACAAAGTGGGTCAAAATCTAGGGCGAGGTTTACCTGTACAAAATGAATGGGAAGCGGACTCTCTATCATGGGTGACTCTCTGCCACGTTTAATCGGTAGACATCACCTTATATTAAAACACATTAAGGCTAATACTTGCACTAGAAGAAGTAAGTTGCCCAAGTCATTTAAAAGACAAGAATTATATTACGGAAGGCTGAGCTGATGCGTCACAGGTAAAGTAGACTAATAAGCATACAGTACAATTTTGTACGATAAACAAGCATATCGATCGGAAACGTGGCTTTTTATTATATTTTTTTTCCTGTGCTGACTGAAACCCTGCAATGCAACTAATTGATTAATAATGTGCATGGCTTTTATGGTATGTATTGCGTGATTTGGTAATCGTGTTAATGTTGTGCTTCATTATATTATTAGCCCATTTCACGTTTCCACTGGTAATGCCAGTCACTTGTACTTGAGGCATACGCGCTTATTAATGGCATTACTGTAGCTTATTGCAAAGATGGGATTTCTAAATTGCACAATTGTTTGATGCCTCTCGTTGTCAATGAATGGGCCATTCTTTTACATATACAGTGGCGGATTTGGGGGGAGCAGGTTCGATTTCTGAAAAAAAATCACACCAATGGTCCCCTCTTGAAATTAGACTTTTGACTAGCTGAATCATACGAATAGGTCTAAACCTTACCAAATGGCACTGTTCGCCCTCTAAAATACCAAAATTTTTTCGGGGCCCGTGAAAGAGCCCCGAGCCCCACGCCAAGTGGGAGGGGCAAGGGTCGGCTTGGCATCCGAGGACCCTCCCCCCCCCCTTCAAATAATCCTAGATACGCCTCTGCATATATGCATGGTTTTACTGTTTTTTACTTGAAATTTCACTATCCAAATCGAATAGGATACCCAACAAATGAAAATATGTTCTCTGTTTGTTTGGAAATTTATTATTTATGCCATTACATAACGTAATTTTAAATTACTCAACATTATCTAATGCTATATAATAACTTTACACAATTCTTTTATTTGAGGGACCTTTCAATAAAAGTGGACGTCATCGGCCAAATTTCGAACACCGTATATTCTGTTTGCCGTTTACTTATACTTTCGCTTGGGTTAATGAGGGGACATAAATAATATGTCTGTTAAATTGCGAGAAAGGCCAGACCACTACTTACTTTATTCAAGTGGACTGCTGTGGATTCTCTTTACTTTTAAAACATAACATAGCCATTGGACATTTTTCTCTTTATTATAATAACATTACTTTTTTTAGCTAAATTAATCCTTTTAACTTTTTTTATTTCATTTGTATTTGCATTTTATTTTTGAAATCTTTAGAACATATTTGATGGATTTCTCTCTCTCTCTCTCTCTCTCTCTCTCTCTCTCTCTCTATATATATATATATATATATATATATATATATATATATATATATATATATAAACGTTACCATAACGTGGCCATAGCTTTTTTTTGGTAAAATTAACGTTATGGTAACGTAATAATAACGGTATGTGTTTGTTGGGTATGTCCATGTTGGCTGTAATGCCCCTATTTCACACAGACCACGAATCCAACGAATCGCCAGAAATTGACAAATTTCAGGATTCGTGGTC